TTGTCGGGAAGATGGGCCTCACACATACCTGGCAACCCTGGTGGTTGGCAAGGGCAGTGGAGGCTATCGTCGACGCCACCTGGCCAGTTCACGGAGTTGCCAAAGCCGTTGGCCACCACTGCTGGTGGAATCCTGCGCAGCAGACCAACAACTGGGTTCTCAAAATCACGTACAATATGTGGAAAAGGTTTGGCCACACTTGGGCCTGCAATGCAGTCGGCAACAGGCTGACAGGGTGCCCATGGTCTCACAATCATGGAGTTCAGGCCTGCAAGCGAGGGTTCATGCAAAACCGCAAGACGGTCAGCTTGAGGATCAAGGTTTTCCAACCTGCGTGGAAATTCAGCATGAGGACTAAGTTCTACAAGGAGTGGGCAAGGTGAGACCTGCCGAACATGGAAGCTGATGCAAGCGACATTGGAAAAAAAGGTGTGCTCTTCACAGCTGAGCATGCTGGACGTTCGATTCCCTTTCTCCAGCATCCTGCAAATCTCAAGTTGCGGTTGCAGATGCCCAGCACGCCGCCCAGGTCGCACATCAAAGGAAGCGTCCGGGCTCGAGCACAGCAAGTCTGATCTTCATATCAATCAGGTTGCAATTTGCAGACAGTTTAGAGAACCATGAAGCTAAGTTCTTAGTAGGCCAAGTGCAGGCTCCTTCTTGCCATGGCTAATGGTTGCGATAGCGGCGGGCAAACTTTCAGGCTTGGAAACCGGAAGCCTTCTTGTTGAAGTGAGTATATACTTGGGAACCCAGTATATACTTCAAATATTATAGCACTTATTATGGGGACCCCCCCAAAAATGGTACCGTTAATTCTGGGAAACCCTCACATCTCTCGACAAGTATTCGAGAGTTTCCCATATGCCTAAGCCCTAAACCCTGACCCAAGAAAGTAGTTTCCATTCTCTCTTCCGTTATCGCTATATAACCCCAATATATACCCTATAATCCCTATCTAAACCCCACTATGTACAGGAAGTTTAGCTCTGGTCTCTCCGTCTGCGGAGATCAAGGCAGCTGCGAAGCTGGAGGCGTCGCCCTTTGCAGACCGCATATGCATGCATGTATATGTCATATGTAATATTGGAATATCTCATATGTCATATTGTAATATGTCATATGTCATATGTATTATGTAATATGTAATATGTAATATGTAGTATGTAAAAAGTAGGGGGTAGTAGGTAATAGGTAATATGCGTATGCAATATGTAGTAGGTATAGAAAATAGTCCATCAGTTTGCCGGAGTGACAAGTAGGTACATCTCACAGCTGCAGAAGAGCTCTCCTGCCGCAGGTCTTGGCCCCCTCTTCCCGAGCCGTGATCTCAGATAGGGCTTCCGGGGCTGCATTCAATAGGGTCGGAAGTCGTGAATACGCTTCTTTCTGTGTACTATGCTGCGGGTTGTTTTTTAAAGTCAATGGCCCCTGGTTACCTCCTGCTTTCGTCCATTATTCTTCAGGCTTGCCCAGACCTGTGCTCCCAATGTTTGAGTTCACCTTGATTTCCCATTTTACCCACTGCCATTTATGATCTACGCATACCCAGGAAACTTTTAATTTTTGAAGCCTGCCGTGGAAGGGAAAGCAGCGCTGCTTTTCCGAAAG